TGAGAACCTCAAAATAACAACTGCCTCTCGGAGGACAGTGAATCCACTGACGTAAGATGTGACTGTTCTGTTGTAAATCACTAAGTCTGGCACCAACGGCACTCAACATGAACAACTGGGAATATTTTTTAGAACCTAATCTTGTTCATCAGGCACACAAGGCACATTTGTAGCTCTTAGGAAAAAAGAGGACTGTGTGCCTCTCCCCACCTTGAAAGACCGTTTCTCCAAGATGGTGTCGCTGCGACAGTTGGTGATGTTGAAGGGCATCTTGGAAAGATCGGCTTCTTTGAACCAACATGGGACCAGGCCCCATCGCATGGGGGCAATGACCCGCTCTGATGAGTCTGCGCCCTGCCACAGAAAAGGAGAGCATAATAGTAACAAGATTTCCCAGTTGCGGAAGGACATGCGTATGATCCTAGCCACTTGGGAGGCTGACATAGGAGGATGATACCCAAGGAAGCCTGTACATGGATTTTTCTAGATTCCTACTCAACTTTGCACACTGACATACCTCTCCGCAACACCCAGAAACTTCTGGTAACGTCCGGGGTCACTTTGGGTTATTGTGACATAGAGGGGCGCTCCTGGTACTTAGTGAGCAGAGGCCAGGGAGGCTGCTGAACATTGAAGCCTGCACTGACCCTTCCCACCAGTGGCCCACGCCTGTCATCCCAGCAGCTAGGGAGGCTGAGGCAGGAGGATCACAGTTGGAGGCTGAGGCAGGAGGATCACAGTTGGAGGCCAGCCTCAGCAACCTAGCAAGGACCATCCATGATGATGTCACCAGTGCCTAGGGTGAGGCTTGTTCTCACCACTTCTATTGGTGACCTTTAACTGAGTGGGTTCATTGGACAACTGTCAAACCAAACCCACACATGAGGACAATGAACAGGAAGTGGGTGAGAAGCCCAAGTGCTGAGGATAGTGCCTGGTATTAGTCACCTTTTCCATTTTGGTCCCTCAACAGAACAGCTGGGGGTATTGGGGTGGAAAGATCAAAGAGGAAGTAATTTGCAAAGTGGCGGTTTCAAATGCAAATGCTGCAATCTAGAAGCGCATGCTGGCCAGATGAACTGCTGAAATATTTCTAATTTGTTTCACAAATTACAGGTTTGAGAAATATGAAATAATTATCAAATTATGAAACACGGGCAATCTTTTTTTATTTTTTTCTGGTACCAGGGATGGAACCCAGGGGCGCTTAACCCCTGAGGCCTGTCCTCAGCCCTTTTTAGATTTTATTCAGAGACAGGTTCTCCATAAGTTGCTGAGGCTGGCCTCCAACTTTCGATCTTCCTGCCTCAGCCTCCCCAGCCGCTGGGATGACAGGCACGTGCCACCTCACCCATCTAAACCGTGAAATCGTAACCAAACTTATTAATGAGATGTATGGTCTAACAGCACATAAGAAATTCCTAACAGTGACCCAAATGGGGACTGGTTGCTTCTACTTCCCCTAGTTCTGGTTCTAGGATCCATTAATTGGAATGGGGATTGCTGTCGGGAATTCAGTACCAGCTTTGCCTTTGCTGATCAGGCAATCTAGGACAAGTCCCCATCTTTCTGTTCAACAATATTTTGTTTCCAGTGGACCTCCATTTAGTAAGTCTTTAGGGATTTGGAAGAGAACTAGGGGCTAACAGCATAGAAGACTCACACACCTGATCTCCCTTCCTTCTAAATTCTGTCTTTTAAATATGTCTCATGTTTTCCTTTCCCCTTTGAGGGTCTCCTCTTTTGTGTGGGGATTGAACCCTAGGGGTGCTTAACCACCAAGCCACATCCTTAGCACCCCCCTTTTATTTTTTTTTTAATTTTGGGTACCAAAAATTGAATCTAGAGGCACTCAACCACTGAGCCACATCCTCGGCCTATTTTTATATTTTATTTAGAGACAGGGTCTTGCTGAGTTTGCTTAGTTCCTCGCTAAATTGCTGAGGCTGGATTTGAACTCATGATCCTCCTATCTTAGCCTCCTTAGCTGCTGGGATTACGGGTGTGTGCCACTGCACCTGGCCTTTATTTTTTCAGACAGGGTTTTATTAAGTCACTTAGGGCCTTCCTAAATGGCTGAGGCTGGATTTGAACTTGTGATCCTCCTGCCTCAGCCTCCAGAGATTTGTGGGATTATAAGTGTGAGCCACCATGTCCAGAGTTGCTGCCTTAAATAAAAAAATAGAAAACAAAATTCCCCTCCAAATAAAAGGCTTATAGAAATCGGGCATGCATTATGGCTAGCAGGTCCAGTATAGCGAATGCACTTAAATTGAGCCCCGGGGAATAGTGGATCAAGTCCTCAGGTTATAAAGCAATAATATAACTACTTTCATTGAGGTCTAGAGTGGTTCTCATCTGGGGGCCAGAATATCTAGATAAAAGCTGATTTAAATGTAATCCCAGCCAGCCAGTGGCACATGCTTGTAATCCCAGCAGCTAGGGAGGCTGAGGCAGGAGGATCACAGTTGGGAGGCCAGCCTCAGCCATTTATCAAGGCTCTAAGCAACTCAGGAATATCCTATTGTCTAAATAAAATACAATAAAAGGACTGGGGATGTGGCTTGGTGGTTAGGCATCCCTGGGTCCAATTTAGGAAAACAAGATGTAATCCTCAATTAGTGGCTTTATTATTTGAAACCCTGTATCATCAAATTAAAAAATAAAAGAGCAAATTAAAACAAGGTCAGTGGTAAAGCACCCCTGTGCTCCATCCCCAGCACTGCTGAGTGGAAACTGGCCCAGCCGGGCTCCAACTGGTTACCTTCTCCAAGTGCAGCCGAGACAGCAGCACGGGGCTGCTGGACTGGGGGCTCTTGTTGTAAGAGGGGTAGTACTTCTCGGGGTCTCTCCACTCTGGGAGTCGCTGCTGGCCCTGTCGATCGTGATAGGCACAAGCTCTGGTGAGGACATCTCTAGGTAAGTGACAGGACGTGCGCCCACACATTCTTCAGCTCGGCCTCCCTCTCGCCACCTTTAACTACAAAACATAAGGAGAAGGTTTATACATGAAATATCAGATCTTTTTCTGTTACCAGGGATGGAACCCAGAGCGCTTAACCCCTGAGCCCCATCGCAGCCCTTTTTCGTATTTCATTTAGACACAGGGTCTCGCTGAGTTGCTGAGGGCCTCACTAGAGGCTGGCCTCCAACCCGCGATCCTCCTGCCTCGGCCTCCTATGGGGATGGCCTGGTGCAATGTCAGATCTCAGTCACAGCGTCCTCCTGCGATTTCCAGGTTCTACTCCTCGGGACCCCCAAGCTCCATCAGGGACAAGGATCCGCCCCTTGGGCTCCACACCCTGGCCCCACGGTGCGGCCCTGGCAG